CGATCGTGAATTAGAAGTGATGGTTCGCTCATGTTCTCGCTGTGCTCAGGCTTTGAAAATGCTTATCAAGACAGACCTACAGCCGTGGCCCAACCCAGGAAAATCGCGGTCAAGAATCCACATAGATTTTGCCGGCCCAATCAATGGCAAACAGTTTCTCGTGGTAATCGACGCGTATTCCAAGTGGCCGGAGGTTTTCATTATGCAAAATACCACAGTGACGATAACATTAAATAAGTTGGTTCAGTTTTTCAGCAGATTTGGTGTTGCAGAGGTCATCGTTTCCGATAACGGACCTCAGTTTACAGCTGAACAATTCAAAGAGTTTTGTAAGCGGCTAGGTGTTCAGCATATTCGCAGCCCGCCTTACCATCCTCAGTCAAATGGACAAGCAGAGCGTTTTGTTGATACACTCAAGCGCGCACTTCAGAAGTCAAACGAGGAGGGAACTATAGAGGATGTATTGCACAATTTCCTCTCCATTTATCGAACCACAACCAACCCATCATGCCCAAATCAAACATCTACCGCAGAAGTTATGTTTGGAAGAAGATTACGTACTACTTTGGATACAATTATCCCGATCCCATCAAGACGGAGCAAATGTGGTCGAAGTAGTGAATCTTGGTTCAATAGACGTCATGGCACCAAGCAAAGAAGTTTCATGGTTGGTCAGTCGGTACTGGTTCGTGATTACATACAGAGAGATCGCCCATGGGTTTCTAGAGTGATGGTGGAAAAGGCTAAGTCATTTACAAAGTAAAGGTTGGAGACCTTATTTGGGTCAGGCATGCCAATCAAATAAGAAATAGACTAGTTGGTAAACAGTTGAACGATTCCAAGTCCGCCGATGTATCAGGTGATTATCATGTCTCAGTCAAGTTATTAGCATGTCGTTGACATGCATTTGTTTCTGCTTTCTGATTGGACGCTTGCACAATTACAAACTCTCAACCGGATTGGTTGATTTCCAGTCTACCTTATTTTTGTATAAATACAGTCACTTCTGTCATAAATAAATGATCCTGGTTTTACCACTGATTATCGCATGTTCTGCTTTACCAGTTAAGTGGGCACTGGTCAGTAGTTAAGCAGTTACCTCGAGACAAACATCCAGCTTCATAACAGTTGGTAGTGAGCAGTCTTGTCTTACTCCTGTCTCCACTCCAAAGGCTTCTCTGCATTATCCGTTGCGGATCACTTGACATGTGGTAATCCAAATTTTCACCCATTCCTTTTCACTTTAGATATCGAAAACATAAGGAAATAGGTAGTGTTAAGAGTTTTGAAATCTCGTTGCACTGCTAGTTATTATTTGAAAAGTCGAAGCTTCTTTCGTCAATCTGAATTTTTTTAAGCTTGTCTGTAACTTCATCAAGTGAAATTACTTGTGACTAGAAGTTGTTTGTCTGTCGAGTTAATCGCTACAGCCATTTAAATTACCTAGAAGAGTAACTCGGATACCTGATTTTTCAACTAATAGATGGTAGAGACGAACATTGGTCTACACAGTGGTATGATGATATCTGAATGTGCTTGTCAAAGTGCAAACTACAGGCTTAATCATACATCCGTATGATAATTCGTAAACTCTCTGGAGGTTGATGGAGATTATAGACATTTTTAGGTTCACTGATCTATAAATCACCAAGAAGATGAATTCAGTCGAAATGCTTTGAATACGTATTACGACTCATCAGAATAACTCATGTGACAGGAGTCTTGTTCCTAGTTGTTTTATGAACTAGTTGACTCGTGTTTTCTACGTCCAGTGTGTTTTAAACCACCTGGATTAGTGTTTACCCTTCCCTTATTTCATCCTCTTGTCAACAGTGTTTACCTTCATTATCTTATGGAGTAGACATATGAGAAATACAAGATCTCGTGAGAAGTTTACGCGTTTCGGTTGTGTTCTATTCCTCATTCATTTTGTTGACACTGACATTTTTCTTCCTTAAAGTTGATCGCGATTTGTATGAGCATGGATTGTGGCCAGTTGTAAATGGTGAACAGTGAACATCTGTAAGTCTTTCCAAAGGTGGATATAATTATATCAAGGCATATGACAACGCATGGCTTCCCGCCAGTTTATCTTTGACTTCTGACTCCAGTGCTTGCTGGATCAGTTGTAATCGTAAAAGGATTGAGACATTATTTGATACCAGAAGAAACCGGTGGTGCCAACGGATTTGTCAGTGATCACGCTCACATATGGTTTGATATCCATGCACTGCGATAACAACTTATATTCAAAGCAAATTCGTTTATTGCAAAACTTTAGAAAACGTATTTATATGTTTATATGTATTACGTAACAAATGACATTTATTGTAACATGATAACAATTTTTAATTTAAGCTGACTTGTGTGTTGAAAAACTGCGAAAAAATGTGTGTTTGTGTATATGTTTACTACGTAATAAATGGCATTATTTTTGTCCGCGGTGAAGACTCAGTTTCTGAACTACTGGATCAGGTATCCAGGTATCCCAACCAAATCAACGATTTCTTCTCCGCAAGCTATAATTATCCTGGTTGATTTCGTGACCATGTCTTCTTGGCGTTCTCCGTATATTTTCAACCTGAAAGAATGTTTTGACGATTAAATTAAACAATTAAATAAACAATATCAAAATAATGGCGACAGTTCTCTGTAACGACACAAATCACTATTCCTCACATATGAACATTACGCTAGTGCTAACAATAAGACGAGGAAAACCTAAATAAATTTAAAAAATAAATGAATAAAAATAATTATAATTTTTCGTGCTCGAGAACATCTCCCAGCATGGCTAATTAAAGGTGTAGTGAAAACTAATAACAGCTCGATATTGGAACATCTAGTGCAAACAGGACACAAAGCCAGCGTAGATGAATCCTTCTCTATATTATACCGGGTGCCAAATAAATTACCAAAAACATCGAAGCACTGCAGGCTCCGAACAGCAGAGACTATTGGGATTCGCCTCAAACGACCAGCACTCTGTGTCCAAAAGAAGCAAGTCCAAACCCTACTTTTGCCCTGGCCTTCAGTAGAATCCATAAACTCACGAATTTGTACTATTATCTTTCTTAATGTTTCTGATATTCAGCTTATTCTATGTTGATGCGATTCAGGTCTAATTTATCAATATTATTGATTTGATGTTATTTAAACATTAATGTCGTTTATAACACTAACTCATTCATTCACTATAATGTATGTATAAATGTAGAGCCTGATGATGAATTTATCGAGAAGAGTACTCTTTGTTCAGTGTCCATTCTTTTGAAAATTTAAAAGAATTTAGGCACCGCATAATAACATGGGTAGTCGAAAAATATGATACTGTTACTGCTTTTGCTAACTGAGAGATACAAGGCATCTAGACTAACGTGTTATATTTTCGGATCCCCTGATGATCTTCTGATGAAAAAAACTTTGTGAAGTACACTGATGATTTAACAATTTCAATGGCTGTTAACTCCCAGGTACATTGTACCAAAATAAATAGCTTTCTGTTGGGAGTCAGTAAATGGTCTGAGTCTAATGGTCTTAAACTTAATCATTCTAAATGTCAAACTGTGTCTTAGCGATCTCTAGTAAAATATTCCGCCTGACATTTTACATTAAGAAGTTAAGACACTCAGATATATATATAACTCAACCCCTCCTCCTGCAGTTCATAAACTCTTGCATCCTACCTATTCTTCTTTATTATTCACCCTTATTCTTTCCTCGTTTGCTTGAAAAGGACTATGTCACAATTCGTAGAATGCTGAAGACGGTCAGTACGGTGAGTGGTGTCCCAGTGGACCACATAGTTAACGTCGTTGTCGATAGGCACTTGACTTCATGCAATAAATTTGCTAGAGGGATTTTATCTGACTTGCAGCATCCACTTTACACTCAGCTTTCACCTTGCATCTCCTCAGGTAGAACAAGAAGTAACTTCAGAAAACGGTGTGCTCGCACGTCTAAGTATAGACATTCTATGATAGCATGCTTGGCACGTATTTTATGTGATGAAAATAGTGTCAGGCAAGAACTAACTAACCTCCTTTCATCTAGTAAATAAACAATTTTCTCCATCCATCCTTACACACCTTCAAGTTTTACTTCTATTATTTCTATTATATTTATGGTCCTGTTGCTTCTTTGTTTTACTCTCTCGCATAATTGCAAGCACCAACTTATCTCTATGACTGTCGTAATCTTTGTTTTCCCTTCAACATATCATGTGAAGAGAACGTTATATTCAATATCTTTAAACATGCTAGGACTTCTATACAGCATTGACAATATTGTGTGAAACGAGCCCACGGCAATTTTCACTTGTATTATTATTATTATTATCTTGACTGTTATCATTATTATTATTATTTCCATTTTATATGCTGCATGTTTCTGACATTAGCCCTATTGTATATGTGGAAGATTTTTTGTGTGATTAATTTTTATTTATAGTTTGAGGAAATTAGATGCAATATTGTGATTAATGCTGAAAATTCCAATCTGTATCACAAGTACTGCTTTTTGGAATAAAGTAAATCATTATTATTATTATTTTACTTCAGATTATTTCTAATCCTTTAGTTAGGCATATTGCAAAGCTGAAGACACCAGATATTGGATTGGTGTATTTTCACAATTGGACTGCTGTCTGTGAAGTATCTTCCTATATTATCTTAATGAATGACAGGTAAGCGTTGGTGATGGGACCACCATAAAATTTAAACACAGGTTTAGCAGAATAATTTAGTGGCAATGAACTCGTAGGTGCAAAATTCACACAAATTTCTCTTGTAGACTGAACAAGGCTCACAACTGTTCCACTAATCCATCGATAGATAATTACTGCAATTTTGTGATTTTACTGCCCCTAATTCTCTCTTTTGAGTGTCCTGAATACCTGATCCTGTCCTACAAATCCAGACCTGTAGTCATTTAAGATTGTTATCGACATTAGTGAGTATTAGTGACGTAAATGTAGGTGATACAAGACAAGTGAAACTTACTTGCTCAAGTGTCTGTAGCTCGCTATTCCCAGAAGGATTCATGAAAGATGGACTTGTCTCCCCCGTAGGTGTGAGTGCATATTCTTCATCGGTGTCGTCTGAAGCACCTCGATCAGCCTGTATCGTAGTATCAGGAGCTTCATACTTAACTGGTGCAAATGAAACTCTTCTACGCTTGATTCCTGCACCTGGTTGCCTCAATATGCTGTTCGGTGTCGTAGCTGTTATTTCATTCATACCCTGAAGTAAAAGTTTGAGTCACACAACAACTATTCTTACCAGACCGTCTAGTTCTAGAGAAGAGGCTGGTGATCCCGGAGCTGGAGTTACTTTCGCGGGAATTACTCCTGGTAACTGAGTACTGATGGGCGGAGAGTTTGAGTAAATCTGGTGCTGAAATTCTCGGTATTCCCTTTCAATAGCTCGGAGTTTCACCAATTCTCTATTGTTTTCAGCCAGGATTCTTTCTGTTTCGCATCTTTTTCTTTCATCTTCCCCATCTCTCCACGTAGTCTCTCATTTTCATCATGTGACTCCGTCAATTCTCTTTCCTGAACAACGGTTTCGTAGCACAAAGTAATTTACTTACTTGGTCTGCTGTCTTCGCTTTCAGCTTTTTGATTTCCTCTTCCCTGATTGCTTGTTTCTTCAGAATCTCCATCTACATTTCGGAAAAGTTCCATTGAGTGTTTAATACTTCGAGAGACTAAGTGATTACTTACCGTGATAAACTGTGTAGTTATTGCTAATGAATTTCATAGGTTATTTTCACTGTTATTTCTTTTAATAAGTATGAATTATTTGTAGAACTGTACTTCACACCAAACCTGCATGTGTGTGACATGGATAAAGCCTGTGAATAGCCACTGTATATAATTTCGGTATGAGTCGGATGTTTTTAAATGCAGACTTAGACGAAAATCAAAATCTATATTCTGAAGTCTTCAGGTTTAGCTGTCATATGTCGTCGCTATATCGTGCTTACTGTCACATGATTGATCTTTTATTGAAAAGAGTCATCCCTGTCGTTTCGTTATTGAGGAAACGTAAACAGGCTGAGTATGTTATTTCAAGTCATTCTGATCTGACTCCTCGCTATTTCAATATCTTCCCTATCCATTTGAGTGGTAAGATCTTTAACAAGATCAGTACGGTATTCTAGTTCATTTGTGTGAAATCCCCACGGTGATAGCTTCTGGTTGATAGTTAAACGAATTAGTTCCCTTTTGGATATATTCTGTAACACGGTTTCATTTGGGTTTTACCTACCTGTATAAAAGTGATCCTGCAATTATTCGAAACTGTCTATCCGTCGTCTCGTCTCTGCATTATCTTATTTTCTTCTTGTTACCTTCTTTCTGACGTTTAAGCTATGACTATCAGATTCCTATTTATCTGTCTACTCTGCCGACTTTACTGCTTTCCAAACATCAAACAAATACTCCTGCAATCACTATTCGTTCTCAGGTTCATCTTACACAAGCTGTAGACTTCACATGTGAACAGTACATTCGTCCACCGTTTCTTGTAGACACCTGTGTCTGCGTGATGCCACCTAATTTGGTATTTATGCTCTAAACCTCCCTGATAGGATGTGTGAACAAATCAGTTTCTCGAAAATAAATACCTCTGACTGTTCGAGACAATTCAGTATTCACCCGACCTCACTTATAAGCGTACCACATCTTGATTCACCGAAGTTGTATTTAGGTGTATCTTTAAACTAGATGTGAATGCCATTCCACACGAAGTGATATCTGTCTCAGACACAACGAGTTCATCTCTCATAGTTGGTGATGACAAAAGTAGCTATGACTCGGTAAATTCAAATGACACAAACTCACCTTCATGTGAGTCAAGCCTAATCTGTCTAAAGCTCTACCTCAACTGACTACATTCCAATCGCTTCAGGTATTTCTACTAGTTCGGTTGTTCGTAAAACCTGTTTTCCTGTTGATGTAAGTCCTCCACAGATTCAAGTGTCTTCGTGCCCAGTTTGTCTTCTCAAGAGTCGGATTGTGAAACGGAACAAGTATTCGGATATAATTCACCGAAGCCTCCAGGTGGTGCAAAGCCAGATACCACCTAAGTTCGCAGTCGAATAGCTTTCTGTGCCCAGACAACCCCTGTTTCTAGTGGACGTAATCCCTCATCAAATTTTGTTTGTGAATATTTTCAGAGGGAGTTCTCTCGAAAGGTCCACTTGCAGAAGCAGATAGTGTCAACTCATACCAAAAACAAAGCATTCGAGTGTTCAGTTCGTTCGCATCAGACTGTGGAGAAAAGTCACCTGAAGACCCATTTTCCAAAACACACAGGGGAATAGCCATTTGCTTGCACTCTGTGCACTTTTAAAGCAGCTCAGTACTTCACATTAAAGCAACATTGCCTTAAGAAACACCACAATGTGTTTCTTTGTTGCAGAAATTGCAGTATCCATTTTATAACTCTAACGGGACTTGAGAATCATCAAAGGATATGCTTCGCTTGATTTCGTTTGTAAATAACAGTATATGTCAGTTTCATTTAAATTTACTGAATAGACCTTTTTCCTTCATACAACAAACCGTTGTGAATCGATTATTTTTGTGTGAATACACAGTACATATCTATTCATCAAAAAGAGAAAAATCACCAGAAACCAAATATGAGAATACCTTATTTCGATTCACTTGCATTGTTTGTTCTCCAATCTGGTCAATTAGATTCAGGGATTCATTCAATTTCTTGACCTTCGAGAAATATGTTGTGTTTTAATTAGAACCTACCAACTCCTTATTCCCTTCTGAGCTCTCCATGGTGTTTACATCGATTGTTTTCTTTAGACTGTCGATATCATCCTGTTTCTGTTTCAGTTCAAGGTCTTTTTGATTCAACTTCTCCTTCAACGACAATATCTCATTGGTCAGGTCATCAGTTTGTTTCTGTAACTGATTCTTCATAGTTTCGAGTCTTTGATTTTGCTCTTGAATGGATTTCTCTCTTAACTTCTGCTGTCCGACTTCTTGTTGTGAATATTCCAGTTGCATTGTGAGATTATTTATATTGTTAGACAACTGCATTTCTTTCAAAATATGCTCCTGTTTCTCTTGATTGAGAAGTGTCAATTGACTTTTTAATTCTCTTGTTGTTCTTCTCTTCCCTACAATTACATAAATGCATATACAAGAATACCATTAAATTTCAATGAGAAGAAGGAAAGCTTGTACTCAGCATGCGTATCAGTGGTAAGTAGTAGTTAACCGAACAAATTTATCAAAACAGAAATTGTCACGAAAATCAGTGTCACGAGTTGTGACACTTCGAGTAAGATGTCATGAAAGAAGAAAACCAAGTAGAGGAAAATGCAACAGACGAAAGTGTACTCAAGAAGTGATAATTAGATGAAGGTTATTATGAATATTCAACCTCGTCGAGTTAACTAGCTCGCTAGTTTTCTAGCCGGTCCCAAGCCCGCGTAAAGAGGGAGGATTGGACGTGGGGCTAGCAACCCCACACCATTGAGCCTTTCAAACCGCTGGAGAAACTTCAGCACATAGAGAACATACTAAAAATACAAAAACTTCAAATAACAACAATCTCATTCTTCGCTCGTATCGGAAAGACAATATGACACAGCCGGCTTGCGAAAGCCAGCTTTCGGAAAGTCAGTCAGCCAAGCGATGCGTGTACGTGAAATGTTCGTACAGTGTACGAGACTGACTTGGAATCCTGCTCAGGTAGACAAAGAGATGGGAAGATATGGCTTAGAAGTACTGGGTATGTGCGAAAGCAGATGGAATGGATGTGTATTGACAACATTGTCAACAGGACAGTTAATAATCTACTCCGCTCCGGTCACCCAGACGACAACTACGAACATACTCAGGCAGTCAGTGACTTTCATGATGTCACTAGTGCCAGCCAAAGCCTAATGCAGTAAGAATCAATTTTACTACGCACAATCATGACAGCGAGATTCAACTCCAAAGGAAGGAAGGTTGTAGTTATCTTGCAATTCTACGCACAGTGCTACAAACAACGCGAAACAAGAAAGGAAGTAGGATTTTTACAGACAACTACGAACAGTAATGGATAACATCACACATGGTGACATCAAAATCCTGATGGACGATATGAATGCAAGCGGAACTGGGAGCAGATAATACAGGTAGAGAACTAACTCATCATGGGTTGAGAGGCTGTCGCTCAACGAAATATATCAAAACGGAGAGTTATTCGCAAAATTCTGCTCTTTAGACGATTTGGTGATCGGAGGAAGCGTGTACAAACACAAGGGTATACACAAAGCAACATGGATTTCGCCTGATGGACATACTACGAACCAAATATATATCATCTCAATGCTTCTCAAGGAGTCGAGACGCAGTCAGTCTGCTTGATACAAAGTCGATAAGGGGAGCAGATGTAGGCCCAGACCATCATCTAGTTCAAGGAAACTTCAAGATGAACTTGAAATCCATGAAAACAAATGGAGACAGACCACTGTAATTCAAGTCCAACATTCAGAAACTGGGCTGAAGGACAAAACTACAAGGGATGCCTTCGCTCCAGATCTGATCACAGCAAAGTCGGACACACTACGTGGCATCACTGAGAAAACCTGTGTGGAAAAATATCTGAACTAACTCTCTAAGGGCGATATTTTAGGAAACGTGTACAACTGTTCTAGGAAGAGGGAAGAGGCCAGCCAAGACAAGAAATGTCTGTCAAGGGACACCTACCTGGAAGCCAATCGAGGGGAGGAGGATTCTGATGAGAAGACCCAATATAGAGATAGACAACAGAAGGAGAAGCTGAGTCCAGTGTACACTGCACTGAATCAAGAAAGAAGTGAATTAGAAAGGTAGGAAAGTCAAACGATAATGCTACCACACGTTGACTGGTAACTGAAGCAGAACAGCAGTGCGCAGCTAAAACAGACTGTAGTAGATAAACTAGTCTCTATCGGGGAAGAGATCAACCCAGATGATGAAAACAATAAAAGATTCTCAAGGGAACCTGATCACCAAGGAGGAGAAACAAATTGAACAGTGGACTGATCACTTTAAGAGACTCTTGAATCGACCACCACCGTCAACTCACACGGAAATACCACCAGCACATACAGCACGCACGGAACTGCAAGCCAGTGAACACCACTCCTCCATCGAAAGGATATATCCGGAATGTGATAAAGCTACTGAACACTGACTGGAAGTGCAGCAGGACCAGACGGCATCCTTCTCGAAAGCGGCAGTGAAGATGGCTCCAGAGATTACGGTAGATGTTCTCACTCCATTACTGCAAAACGTTTGGAAAGAAGGAAAGCTTCCTACTGATTGGAAGAGTCTCCAGGTACTTCGTCAAACTGACGAAGAAGGACGACTCAGGCCTCTCTGTGCAAGAACTGACTGACATGGAATAATGCTCTTGTCCACTCCAAGTAAAATGCTAAGTCGTATCATCCTGGAGAGAATAAAGGATGCACTGGATACGGAACTCCGCCAGCCACCGAACAAGCTGGATTCAGGAAAGGCAAATCATGTGCTGATCAAACTCCAACTTACGCATCGTCATCGAACAAAGTATAGAATGGTAATCTGATCCCTCCCTACCTCAACTTCATCGACTTCGAAAAGGCCTTCGAAAGACAGTGTAGACCAAGAAGTTGTTTGGAAACTAACTCAACACTACGGCCTGCAGTGACCAAGTATTTATCAACCTCATTCAAAAGCTGGTTATATGAAAATGCCAGGTGTCAAGTAATTCACAACAGAAAACTCAGTGAGGCGTTCAAAGTGCATAGAGGAGTAAGACAAAGCTGGCTGCCTATTATCACCGATAATATTCTTGATTGTGGTGGACTGGATTACGCGTCAGACTATTGGGGACGAGGAATCAGAAATACGTTGGACCACCTATAAGAAGACTCTAGAAGATTTGGATTTCGGAGATGATATATGTCTTCTGTCACACAAACTCGAAGACTTAGAGGCGCGCGAAAATCAACAAACTGGCTGAAGAGGCTGGCAGCGAAGACAGGACTGCAGGTGAACATAGAGAAGACGGAAGTGATGAAGATAACCAACCAACAGCAACAACAACCAGAACCGATTACCATCAACGGAGAGATTTAACAGGGGTTCCCTCCTTCACCTATCTGGCCACAAAGTATCGTTTCAATTACAGGCAGTCGGAACGGACGGAGATGTTAAAGCCAGTCAGAATTGGAAAGACAAGTTACGTCTTCATCAACTTGAAACCAGTTTGGAAATCTCCCACACTCAGTATAATGAACAAGATTGGCATTTTCAGCACCACTGTGAAGTCATTCAATTCTTCAGTACGGGTGAGAAACCTGCACTGCGTATGACGAAAAGGATTCCTAACAGGTCACTGCAGATTCATCAACAGCTGCCTTCTCTGGCTCCATACTGAAGATCGAATGACCAGAAAGAATAAGCAACAAGAAACTCTGAAATGAACAAACCAACCAGGAGTCGATCGCTCAAGAAATATGGAGAAGAAGGTGGAGATGGATTGGGCATACATTGATGAGGCCGCCGAATGACATCGCGCGTCAGGCAATGAATGCCTCGAGTGGAATCCCGTTGGGAGGAGACGAGTGGGCCTTTAGTGTGAAGGTGACATGGAGGAGATCGTGTGAGGAGGAGATGAGAGAGTTTTGTCGTTCGTTGACCAAGCTGAATAGGATAGCAGAAAACATAACAAAGTGGAAATGTTTTGTTGAAGCCCTATGTTCCACTCGGAACGCAAGGGAATAATGAGAAGAAGAAGAATCTTCAGAATCTGGGAGGTTCCAACGAGTAAATACCTATAATTGAGTCTCACAGCATCCCAGTCAGGTAATCTGCATCTCCCTGGGTGTCTCAAACCAACAATCAAAGACTGTGCATCGGTATTGTGTTTTCGTCTAACGACACCTAGGTGTTCTCCAGCTTTGTAGTACTTTGGATGATATTGCGTGTCAAATCTCATGTCTCATCATACGAAACACATAACAATAATAATAATTGTTATTTCGCATAAACTAGTAGGCCCACATGGAACGCGTGCCATTCTCACAGACACAATCAAACACAGTCGATAGGGTCTTGTAAACTCTTCAATTAACCTCTTCTGTTTACTCGAAATTCCAGCAGTAACCTCACTGTTAATAACCATTTTCTTCCTTCCAACACAAAAGATTGAACGAAGGAAAGAATGGTCAGAAACCACTAATCTTGATGATCAGTTACAAAGCAGCCGTAAAATATGACGGAGAGAAGTGCGACGCAGTATGCACATTCATTGGTGAGTGATCAGATATCATACTGGGTGTTAAGGTAACACAAGTTATCAAGTTCCGAACTACCCTTCTCTATCCTTGCTGGGATGTCATCAGCAATCAGTCCGTTGATGTGAGGCCAGTATGATAAATAAGTGAGGTGGTCAGAAAATCCAGCAATATGACTCTTTATATTTAACTTAGGACTCATTGCAGAATAATACTGTGTCGTAATCCGTCATTTTATATGGACAAAACTCAAGCAAACACAGACAGACTTTCATCTCTGATGTTCCGAAAACTACATTCTGACAGAGTCTTCACCTGAAAGGACAATATCATCTGCACACTGAAGGCTACACTCGAGACATACACTTAAAGATTACAGTCTATCAGAGCCAGTAAGTGATATGAGATTAAATAAAACTGGTGGCAGTGGGGATCCCTAATGAGCAGTTGTCAACAAAAGTGACATCACCATCCTTTACTTCTTTTGTTTAGTCCCCGTGAATACAACGTATCAAAGTAGACTTTATGGCAGTATTACTTCCAAAATTATTTCTCCTCAACAGCTTATGTTTCTGTAAACACGTCCGCTCCGAACATTACATTTCTAATCCGATGGATGATACCATTCACTACCACTTAGAATTGATATGATATTGTCAAAGAATAGATGGGAGACCCACGCTTTATATGTTTATCGTACAAGAGAATATCAGGTTTTCTGTCGGGAATTGGTGAATAACTTTATCTACTTGACACTTGATCTACACATGTTAGCTGAAACGGATCATGTAGCATTGACTTGTATTGTCAAATAATGCAAACATTGACAGTGTAAAAATTGGATACGATGATTAATTCATACTACAGCCTCCAACAGCAGTACCCAGAATCTTCGAGTATGCAGTATGAAGACAAACTCTTACCGGGTATCTCCCAACTGAGATCACTTATGATGTCAGTAAGACAGCCACCTGTCCGTCGAATAGAAGCTACCTAGCATAGGGTTGATATCCGTCTGTCTTTATGTGTGGAGAGTGTGTGCTGGTGATACGGGAAGTCTCAGAGATTGCTCGTCTCTGTGACACTGCTTTTGTTTGGTGGGATCACATAACAACATGCTAACAGCATAGGCATAATTTTGAGCAAAAGAAATAAGTCATATATATATAGGGCAGGTTATCCTGGTCGAACTGAGTTGACGTGTATTATGAATACTCAACTGGCGTCCAGTATGATAATCGGTGTTAATGAAAGTATTACCTTATTTAAAGAATAAAAGATGCTTCGGTTATTCTATAGAAGCACCAATAGTTTGTGAAGGAGTCACTTTGAAATGAAGGTTATTTATCCAAAACAAATGTAAGTTTTGACAACCTCAATGATATGGCTTTCAAGCTCTTAGGAAGTCTTACACCTTGTGGTTGTTTTCATGCTACTGTCATCATGTTTTATTAAACAAGCGGTCTGAAGTAACGACAAAAGTTCATCTGACAATAAGAAAAAGGAGTCGATGTACAGATTAGAATATAGTGAAGCGTACATGCGTCTTGAACAAAATGCACTCGTGTCTTCTACTACACATCCGACATGCGGTTTCGTCTGTTTGACAGGCGTAAACCAGAAACCTTATGCAAGTCAGATTCGCGGTTTATTAATGACTGTCACTGCTTACTTTCTCCGATCACATATATGATCATAAAACTGAAAGTAAGTGTAGCGATCTCAAAAATGAATTATTAACTCCACCTACAGAAAGAACGACGAAGTTTCAGTTGCTTAGAGTACAGTTTAGTCTGAAAACGCCATAGAATACGAAGTGAGGGGAATAAACCTTCATCCTCTGACAGTTCAGTTATTCCGTCAGATAATAGCAGTCCGTCATTATCACTTTCAGAATTTTTTAAAGTCGCCTATTTCTTTTACCCACCGATGTGTATGCGTATACAGAAAATTATTTTCATTCAATCAGCTTTCTATTTTCAGTTAATAAAGTGCCACTTCTGGTTTTTCAATCACTTTGCATCCCATTATCTGCTGATAATAATGGTAGAAATAAATCAGTGCTGTCACGTTTGTAAAAGCTTCGATTCTGGTTGAGTTGGGCGATTTTCCGCCAGCCCTTACTCTCACGAATGCACTCCATATGTGCTTAGTGAATAACTTATTCTTCTATTTACTTTTGAACGCAAATAGTATGTTAGCACAGTGCTCAGCATAGTCTCAAGTATTCTTATGTCAATTCACTGATTGGTGCGTTTACAGCACGAATGAAATAGGTTACATCAGCAGAGTGGAATCACAACCATGTCAAATAACAGTTAAGATTACTTAATGAATCCACCAGTATCTTCTTCAAAATAGTTGTGTTTACATTCCCAAAAAACCACAAACTGGATGTACTTTCTCTATATTGTACTGGCTTTATCCGCTAAGCATTCAAAGTGGCGACAATTAAATCACAAATGCAATCGTGTATATAGAAGTCTGAAAATTATTTCTAACTAATTGATGACTATCGAAAATCTCTATGCATACTCACCTTGATTTCAGAATGTGCTAGGTTTAGAGCTTTTCGGTTTTCCTCATCAGTCAACTTCAGTTCATTGTATCTGATTTCGCAGGCCTCCATTTTCTCTTTTAACTTTGAACAATTAGCCCTAGAATTATGTAGATCGAATTCTGAAAAATACCTCTTCTCTTCCAGTTCCTTTTTGACTTCAGAGAACTTTGTTCTCATTTCCTTCACTTCCTCTTCAATCATTTTCGTTTGTTCCTGTGAGTAAAATGTGGTGTAGGAAACTCGTTGTTACTTCTAGAAGTTTGACCAAGGCCTCTGACTTCAAAAGATTCCCATGGACTTCAGCGTACTTCTGTTTCTCAGACGTCAGTTTCGAATGCAACTCATCGTTATCAAGCTTTCATAGTCTATGGAAAACATTGCAATCAACAGTTACCTGCAATTTTTCATTAAATATCTGGCACTTCTCAAGAGCTGCTCTCATGTTATCTTGCCTTTTATACATGCATTCAGTGTCCTTCTCTAATTCCGTGACCTTCCTTCTCAGAATGACCTGTTATTGTGTTTATGAAATAATTTAACTTCTTACTGAGTTCTCACGATCAATACATAGAAGATGGTTTTCCATCACAAGGTCAGCTGCCAAAAGGATTATATTAAATTTGAGATTACCGCATATGTTATATATGTTCGACTCAAAATCATGCATAATCAGCGATCTAAGTATGTGACAACTTTATTCCATTCATTACCTGTTGTTTAGTACTTTCTTCGACTCAACGACTTTTCCTTTCACCATAGTTAATGTATGAAATGTATCTTCATTCCTGAGATGTTGATTTTCCTGAAATGTGGAAAGGCTTTTTATCATATTGCTTATTTTATCGATCATAGACTTAACGTGAAATCGTGACTTGTCCGCCTGGTCACAGAGATAATTCAGCTTCTGTTTCGAAGCATCCAAGAACTGTATTCTCAACCTGCATTTGTGCTGGTGTTCATCAAGCAGACACACTAGATCTTCATGTTCTTTCTCTTTGGTTTCCGATAATTTGACAGCGTTTATTCTCATTGCCTAAATCCTCTCACTATTTTTATTTGCATTCCTACCCTTTCGTCCTCTATAGTGCTTTCCAGACTTTTGATGAGTGATTTATACTCTTCATTGCTACATTTGATGTTTTCTTCTATCTGTTTTAACTCAACTAGTCGTTTCATAACCTGATGATAAATGTAGCATACTTTTATCAGTATTCAGTCCATCGATCTCCCTCTGCAGTTGAATAATTTCCTCTTGATGTTTCCGATCACAGAGGATAAGTTCTTCTTCCTGCAAACATTAGCGTTTTGAAGTGAAACTCACCAAGCATTTGTTTTCATCGCCTAACTGAATTATTCTTTGTTGCAGCGCTTCTACATCGCACTTTTTACTCTCAACTGAAGTGTTTTTAGATTTAAAAGAAGTTTACTTGTGTCCTCAAATTCCTTGTATTTTGCTAAACATGTCTCTGAATGTTCGAGAAACTCCTTCTTGATGTTTTCGTAATTTCTCCGAAGAACGTCATATAATTCTTCTGACTGGAAAACTCTACTCTTTACTACCAAAAATTGCATTATGCATATAAATTTACCTGTCATGCTGGCCTCAGCCAACTTCTTGACTCTTTCTTCGAGTGCACTACTTTGACTCTGAATTGACGAGAACCTGGATTATTTATGTTGATTCTGCACAATATCATCCCACCTTTCCAGCACGTTGTCTCTTAACTCAACCTCCTCTTTATATTTCAAACTCATATTTTCCAGATTTATCTAAACGGAAAATCATGTCAGTATGACAAATACTTGAAGTTCCACATTTGCACTCCTCAGGTTTTCCACCAGTGATTCGTACGACTCCAATTCTCGACACTTTTGGAAGAAAGTATTAATCGTATTGCTTTTACCTTTCCTTCCAACTGAGACAAAGTGTTACATTTCCAGCTTTCTAAATCACTTGCCTCCTTTTTAAGACGGTTGTACAGACACTCAAAGCTGAAGTATGAAAGAAATAGTCTCTCTTACTTGTCACTTAAACTGACAGATCCAGGTGATTTGTCGCCTGTGTTGTAGTTATTGTCGGCTTTCTCACAATCATTATCAATACATGAGGTTTCTGCACTCGTGTAATCCGGAGACTTCCTAACTGTGCGATTCAGCAACACATCGTCTTCAGAACTAGTGGAGACATTGTAGACATCTGGAGATTGCATGATAGTCTTCTTGGACCTGTCATTCAGGAAATCAAGCATGGGTGACGCAGGAGCATGTTTCTGCAATCGAGTATGCTCCGTTGGTGAAGGCGATCTCGGTTGTTCGAGATCAATAGGAGAGGTTATGAACTTGCTTCTTTGAGAATTTACGGGAACACTTCTCAAGTTAGGGAGTTTAGGTGATGTATAAGACAGTTGGCCAGGTTCATTTTTCTTAGAACTGCCATCGAATTTCATCAACTTCGTCCACTTATCACTCCAGTTGCCCTTCGGTGTCGGTGAAGTGAAGTTGTTTTTCGAAGATGCAAAGCGGTCAGCAAACAGGTCGTCTTCGTCTAGGTCAAAGGTTGAGTTTGTGTTATTGTCATCCGTAGTATTCCAAATCGAGACGGACGGGTGTTTACTCATGACTCGTGGTGAATTGTTTTGTGCCAGTCCTTTTGGAGAGCTTTCTTCTTTCCGGAATGTCCGAAAATAGTTGCTTCTCATAGCCATTGCGCGAAAAATGATCTGCGTGTTGAAAAGTGCCTGGTGGCGTTTTCGTGTTTAGCAGTTTGTTTAATGTCCAATATCCAATATCCTGATTACGAGCTAGTATAAACCAGTGATTTCTTTGAGCTCGCTTCTTGATTGTGAGGTGGAGGTTCCAGATCTTCGGTGAGCTTCTGCGTAGTAAGTCCTGCCACTCGAATGCTTTAGCTCTGTTAGACTCCAAGAGGAGTGGTGCGGGGATTGGTCAAGATGTGGTTTGTAGTATGCAGTATGTTAGGACTGTATTGCTGCCGTGAATGGAGTTTGACCTAACTCCCGTTGGTCATTTGGTGTAGTCATAAAAGCAAAATAGTAACAATAATAGGTTGTTGTGTAGATAATATAGGTTGAGATAAGTGGAATAATAAAGGTGACCTAAGGAAAAGATATAGTGAGAGAAGGCAGAGTAGGTCGTGGGGATTTAGTTTGTACGCTTATCCATTGACAGTGTGGTTTCAAATTTTATGAGGATAAGCCATTGAGACACAAACCTTGCATTTCTGTATGACTGTCTAGCTTTCGCTTAAAAATCTCCACATATGGCGCTGTAGTCACGACCGCCGGTAAAGCGTTCCAGAGACGGCAAACACGAAGCGAAAAGAAATGTGATCGCACTCAAGTCTTTGGTCTCTGGTGTGCTATCCTTAGCGGGTTACCTCGTGGAAGCCTATAATCACTTAATGGCAAGATGCTTTTATTTGGGTGGGCCTGGTCATTTAAGATCTGGTAGACGGTGATGAGGTCTCCCCTGTGCCTATGGTAACTGAGTGTGAAAAGACCTAATTTCTTTAGTCGTTCCTCATATGATTTGTTGCGGAGGCCGATCACCCATCTTGTCGCTCGTCTCTGGACACTTTCTATAATGTTAGCATCCCTTTTGAGCAGCGCAGGTGCAATGATATTATGCACCTCAAGGTGTGGCCTCACATATGCCTTATATAACCTCAAGAACAGTTCGGGAGTGAGAGCTCCCAGCTGCCTATACATAAAGTGTAAAGTTGCGTAGACTTTGGCGACGTCCCTCGCGTAATTTCCACTGGTGTCTAGCTCTTCTGGTAGAATAAGACCTGGATCGCGCTCTGATGGAACACAACTCAAGTTCTGGCCACCAAGGGTGTAACTTACACTCTGTGACCTGCCGGAACGAAGTTGCACTACTTTGCACTTCTTTAGGTTGAAAGGCATTCCGTCAGCCAGAGCCAAGTTTCCCAGAGTTTGCAGGTCAGCCTGCAATCTATCTGAGTCTTCCGATGAGTTTATTGCTCTCCAAATCTTTACGTCGTCAGCGTAAAGAAGCTCAGAGCAGTTTAGTTGGGTGGGCAGGTCGTTGATAAAAATCAGAAACATCAACGGCCCTAGGATAGAACCCTGAGGAACCCCTAATGCCGAGGTGTGCCAGGATGATCGGATGCGGTTGACTTTGGTGTAGAATTCTCTCTCGCCTAAGTAATCTTTCAGCCATGCGAGAAGTACTCCAGAAACACCCGCCTTGCTTATTTTGTGAAGGGGCAGACCATGGTGAACTGTGTCGAATGTTTTCGCAAAGTCGAGAAAGATCACGTGGGCTGGTACCTTTTCGTTCCAGGATAGTGTCCAATCGTTCCAAGCTAGTAGAAGATTCGTCACGCAGAATCTTTTCCTCCGGAAATCGTGCTGTGCTTCTTGAAGAAGGTTAGTCCCATCGAAGTATTTTCTCATGTGGTCGTCAATGTGACTTTCCAATATTTTCGAAATCACTGGAAGTAGAGCAGCTGGTCTGTAACTGGTCGCATTCTGCCGGTCACCACCCTTGAAGATGGGGGATAGGATTGCTCGTTTCCATTCACATGGAAGTTCCCCTACATCAAGGGAGTGTTGTAACAGATCACTTAGGGGTTGACAGAGACTTTCTGAACATTGCTTCAGGACAGATGGTCTGATGTCATCACAGCCTGAGGACTTTCCCGAAGCCAATCTTCCCGATTTTGCAAGTACCACAGCCGGGGTAATTTGAAATTTACCCCGCAGGTTTTCGCGTGTTGGTTTAGCAATGTAATCTTGATGTTCTGTGGGGGTAATATTCTCGTTACTGTTTAGTTGCCTGTGAAAGGCTAGGCTGAATGTCTCTGCCATTTCAAGACTAGTAAAAGATTTCCCATCAGAACCCACTAGATTGCATGCTCCCTGGTTGGTTGATATTCTTTCGGACGTAAACCTGTAAAGGCTTTTGGGGTTCACGAGAAGCTTTTTGGAGAGGTTTCCCTGAGATGTCCTTATCAATGTAGTTGAAGACTGAATGATCAATTCATGGTTGTTTGCTCAAAACCAACTTCCCCAATTTTCACGGAGGCATCAATACGACAGTCATCATCTCATCGGTCGCTGTTCAGAAAGAAGAGTTAAAAACCACCAGAAACCTTAGTTGTAACATTGTTTATATGTTGGTGTAACAATAAAGAATTCTCGAGTGGCCAATCGGTGTTTTGGTTTTTTCGTCCGTTATTACTAAGCTTTTCTGAGAAACTTCGAGGAACAGCGTGAGCCCGAGCGTAGCAAGAGCTGGGCATTAACGGGTTACGAGACGTGGCTGACAGTCCTTCTATTGCTCCGGACTCGTATGTTACATCGATTCCTGATTTCAAGGTACACTTCATGTTCGGGTTGACTCTTCGATCGTCGCCACGCAAACCAGGCCTTTCGCTTCGCCTGCAGAAGGCGTTGTGTCCCCCTTTTTAGCCATGAACGTTGCTTCCTAGCTTTTGGTGTGACCAAAGGAACAGTGTCTGAGACCGCCTGGTGAATGATCTCCTTTACCACTCTCCAGTGTTCTTCTACTGTTAGCTCTGTCCATTTTTTGGGCCAATTTGCTCCAGACAGAAGTCTTCGCATTTTGGTGTAGTTGGCTTTGTTATAACACAGATAGGGCTGTGTATTGTCCCACCGTAAGCACTCGCGGAGGACTATGTCGAATACTATGACCGCGTGGTCACTACTACCTATGGGAGTCGTGATCTGAACGTTTTCCACTAGTAGCTGGTCACTAGTGAGCACGTAATCCAGTCTAGAAGACTTCCCATCAGGGCCCCATCTAGTAATAATAATAATAATTTTTATTTCTGTAACAGAAACCAGCCATTTTTACAGGCATGAACATATGTACATTTATGAAAACTTATAGAATATATAATATGATTTGTTAATTTAGAAATAAGTTGAATACTGGTAAATGTGAGAGAAACATTTAAAATGAAGTGTACAAATAAGGAAATAGATATATCGTCAAATCTAAACTGTGATTGAAAAAAAAATACATGTCAATTTCACGCGGGAACCATAAATGGTTGCGTTAGCTGAGGAAGGTAAGTGGCATTTCTGTACAGGTGCTGACGTATTACATAAAAGATGCAGAATAAACAATAACTATCAGTAAATCATTCAGAAAGAGTTTTAAAGTCTATTAAACTTTAAATTTACCCGTAAGTACATCATATTTGTGACATTTCCAGTTGTTTATGAGACCCACTTTGAACTTGTCAGCAGATTTTATAATACCGATGATCCCGTTATTCACCAGATGAGCTAGCAATATCACGAATAAGTAGAGAAAGCAGTATGTTTGAAAAGAGAAGAAGACACAAGAAAACCAGCAGACAGGTGCAGATCTGCACCTTCAGTATTTAAAAGGTGTTTATAACTCGAAATATATAACAGGCATGGGGTTCACCGTTTTTTATTGTTTTTTATTCAGGAAATATTATTTTCCCGATATTTAACAGTCTTTTCTGCGAAAAATTAGTTTAAAATGAAAGACAGGTGATAATCTCACCTACTTACGAGGTTTAAAAGGAGTAAAACACAAAAGTCAGAGTGCGTGAGCTATGTAAAAGAAAAGCGAGGGCCTAGTAATGTATGTTTTTCTGAAGTATACAGTTCGGTGTCCTTCTGAAGTAGCGGACTCATACCATTTACTTTCATTCGGACGTTTGCGTCTAAACTTCGGCTCTAGGCAATTTTCAACTAATATTTCTTTTTTCATTATTTTTTTTTATTTTTAGTTTTTTTTAGTTTTTGTTTATTCTCATTTTGAAGAAGCCATCCGAACTCAGGAGCCATAGCAATAGAGTGCTGTCCCACAGATAAGGGTGGTTCACATATGTCCCCACCATCATATCCGCTGACTAGCAGTCACCACCCTCCCACCTTTTTTGTGCAAGGCCCTGTCGGAATGCTTCATTTTTTTTAAATTATTTATTTTATTTTTAAATTTCTGTTGCAAAATGCCACAAACTTTTTGTTTGTCCAACTATTTATTCGTCGACTTACTCAAACTTATGGTATGAATGACTACTTTCAGAAGAACATCATGTATGTTTCATCTTTTACAGCATTTTGAAGACGACAAATGTGGGAAAGAAGGGCTATCTGAGACTTCATTTCAGATATAAACAAATGTAGTTTAGAAAATCAGGGAGTAATCGTGCAGCATTGAGCAAATAACAGTAGTAGAATAGTAAGATAAGATTCATTTTAGATATAAACAAATGTAGTTTAGAAAATCAGGATAATCGTGCAGCATTGAGCAAATAAGCAGTGAAGTTATAATATGTTCTAGAAATTTGAACATACAGGATTATAGTAATAGAATAGTAAGATAAGATTCATTTTAGATATAAACAAATGTAGTTTAGAAAATCAGGGATAATCGTGCAGCATTGAGCAAATAAGCAGTGTAAGTTATAATATGTTGTTCTAGAAATTTGAACATACAGGATTATAGTAATAGAATAGTAAGATAAGATTCATTTTAGATATAAACAAATGTAGTTTAGAAAATCAGGGAGTAATCGTGCAGCATTGAGCAAATAAGCAGTGGTAAGTTATAATATGTTGTTCTAGAA